GCCCAGCCCAGCCCAGCCCAGCCCTTGTCTGAACACTGCAACCAACAATCCTGCAGCTTTTTTGTAGTCTGATTCACATGGTGTTGGGGAACAGACTTCACCACCGGCATCTATTGTCATTCTATCTGCATGGTGTTGCCTTGGTCAGGGTCTGTGTGTGCTGCAGTCGCACTGCGCCCAGTCCAGAGTGAGAAGCAAGTGGGTTTTCTGGGAGTCTCATAGCATCTCATAGCAGCACGGAGTGTGGAGGTGTTTCACTTCTACAGGCCAGCGTCCGAGTAACCTCTCTGATAGGACATGCTTGCTGAGGCTTGCTGCCGCATCTCTGCGCATGTCGTTTGCGTCTGCCTCAGAAATTCTAGAGCTCAAATACCAGGGATACATGTGTAGGCGCTGAGCTAGGACATCGTAAGCATCCATGCATTGTATAGGAAGACTATTACAGCTTCTTGAGGCTGCTGCATCGGTTGGTACAAAGAAGCAGGATATGTAGCCGAGGACAGGACGCTCAAAATCAGGTTCCAAAAACCAAAACGTCGGTCAAAACTTTCAGTCAAAACTTATTTGCACCCAAACCTTCAACAATTTCTATAAAACCCTATACCCAGAAACCTGCCATCCTAAACCCTACAACCTAACACTTAATCCCCAAACCCCAAAGCTCTAACCCCAAGACCCCAAACCCCAAAACCTTAAACCCTAAAACCCTAAACCCTAAAACCCTAATCCCAAAGACCTGAACCTGCAGGCTTCCGGGCTTCTGAGGGAGCCTGCAGAGTGTAGAGGTATCCACAGAGGTTCACTAAGGTTGTAAGGTTTTTAGGGTTGTTTTGGAAAGGTTTAAGCTTCAAGGTAGCAATGTACTGTACCAGGACCCCTCAGGAATTGTGGGTATTCATGGCATAGTAGAGGGTAGTTGGCGGGTCCAGGTAGGTCGGTCCTCGAGGACTATATTACTATTGGGTACTTGGCGCTCTGGGTATTGCCTGAGCCCAAAACCCCGAGAAGCCCTGGCGGTGATGACCCAGGACGGGACACGCCGAAGTCGTTGAACTCTTGATGAAGGCTGGTGCGGACAGGACGCTGGTATCCAAGGAAGGGAAGACGGCATTCATGGAAGCGTCATCGCGGCTTGGTAGCACACACAGTAGCCACAGTTTTGGGTGGATGGTTTAAAGACGTCAGTGCTGGAAGTTAAGATTTGGTTATTTAGGCTTTGAAACTTTGCCACTTCTGGAGCGGGCTTCTTCGCATTTCGGGGCACTCGTGGAATGTTCTGAGCCAAGCTGCTGAAGCCTTAAAGAAATGAACCCGCGAGGTGGGGACACATCGAAGTCATGCGCCTCTTGAAGCCACTGAAACGGAAGAGGATGACTAGGCCAGCAGCGCAGCGTTGAGAGCTCATCGGCGCCTTGTCCTACAGCCTTGAGCAATTTGTGTTTATGTTCCGGGCTTGGGTGTAGGATTTAGGACCGCCATACTTCGAGTGTCACTGCAACAGCACTGTTAAACTACAACATAACACCATGTGTTCTGTAATTGTGTATGATCCTAAACCCTCCCTAGAACCCCTAAAACCCCTAAAAACCCTAAAAACCCTAAAAACCCCAAAAACCCTAAGCCCTAAATCCTAAACCTTAAACCCTACGCCCGAAGCCCTTAAACCCCTAAACCCTAAACCATCCTCTGTCGATCGAGGACGGTGGTTCGCTTCCAGCAGCGGTGAGGGGTCTAAATAATTACCTATGCTATGTTGCGGGGTGCCTTATTACTACTATAGTATAATGAGCCCCGAAACCCTATTCGAATTATTATGGCCCCTAAACCCTACACCCTTCTGGTAGCCCCTATAGAACCCTTTGAAGATCCCTTTTAAAGGAACCCCTATTCCAATATCTGAGGCCCCGACATTATGCCCCTTCGCTCGTGGAAAAACGCTGCAAGAAAGCTCCGGGTTCCCGCAAGCACCAAATTGGGGGGTTTTCCGAACATGAGGGTTTAGGGTTTAGGGTATACGGTTTTGGAATTTTGGGGGTCCTAATGGGTAGTTCGCTGGATCCTGAAGGGGGCCCTAATTTAGAGACCTACCCAAATGGGGGTTTCCGAACATAAGGGTACCTTATTTTGGGGTTCCTTATAATCAAGGGTTTAGGGTTTAGAGTTTAGTATTCTGGGGTTCTTTATAATACAGGGCTGCAGGTTTAAAGTTTAGTATTGTTCGGGGGGTCCCCATTTGGGAAACCCCCAAATGAAAAGTAAAACAGCCTGTGCATCGCCTGCCTTCTGTAGGATTTTGCAGAAGTTCCCCACTATCCATAGTATGGAGCATACCACAAGAAACCGAACCACACAGTTTGCGTAGCTTGCTGCAGGAATGAGCCATTTCCAGCAGGGCCCCCATACGTTTCAAAGCCCTGAAAACCCTGGTGTAGAGCAATCTGATTAAGAAACCCTGGCCCTATAACCCCCAAAATAAGGTTTCACATTGAAGAACCCTACGACGAAAGGTCCAAGGTTTCTTAACCAGGTTCCTACATTAGACTATTGAAGTCGAGGGTTTAGGGTTAAAGGTTTAGTTTTAGGTTGAACCCTGAATGCTTAACGTACCTTTATGAAATCCTTTGCAGGAAGCCCTGTTTTAAGACCCTTAAAGTGAAGCCCAGTCTAGAGCCCTACAGTACCCTTACAGGGAACCCTATTATGGAAGCCTGTTAAACCCTTGAAAGGGGTTGCAAACAACGATCGGTCCTGACCCCCGAAGACGACAAGTGCGGACCTCACTTCTCCAAGATCCTTCCTAAAGGGTTTTAGGGTTTAGGGTTTAGGGGTTAGGGTTTAGAGTTTAGGGTTTAGGGTTTAGGGTTTAGGGGTTTAGGGTTCAGGGTTTAGGGTTTTCTAGACCTAAAGGATCATGGGACGTAGTAAGCAGGTTTACAACTAAGATAACTATACTTATAACCCCAGTCAGGGGACTTATAACCTTAGTTACTAAGTCCCATGATCCTCCAGTAGTGGATCTCTAGGGGTTTTTAAGATTTGAAGGAGGTTTAGGGTTTAGGGTTTAGGGTTTAGGGAGAAGATTACGAATATGCTGCCTATGCTTGTAATTGGAGTTGTGTATAACCCCAAGTAAGGTACTTATGACCTTACGTGCTTAGCCCAGTCATGCTCCCTAGTGGTGGAACTAAAAAGATACCTTTTGGGAATGTATAGGGAGTTATTGCCCCTATGAATGTCTTGGTAGGAGAATGGTAGTCATTCAAACCTATATGCCAGCATTTAGGGTTTAGGGTTTAGAGTTTTGGAGTTGAGGGTTTAGGGTTGATAAGCTTGAGGGTTTACTGCTCCTGAGGGTTTATTGCTCCGTAATACTCCGTGATAGCTGTTTAAGCTGTGGTTTAGGTTTAAGGTGCAGGGATTTATCATTAGGTTATCAGTTTAGGGTTGTTTCTGTAAGCTCACCGCGGCGTTTAGTAGGCAGCGTTCTGATTGGGTTAGGCAGTTAAAAAATGCACTTCGATCGGCAGTTTGCACATCGTTGTCATGCTGTACTCTCCTTGGACCTGGAATGAGATCTTTGGTGGTTCAGGTACCTAGCAATCGTATATTACCGCAAAAAGGCCACCTATTTTTTTACGGTTCCACACTCAACTACTTCACCCTAAACTGCATGCCCTATAAACTGAAAACCCAACTAGACCCCACACCATAAGACCAAACCCCTATTCCTTATACCCTAAACCCCTAAACCCATAAAGCCCTAAACCCCTAAGCCCTGAACCCCTAAATCCCTATTCCCTAAACCGAAATATTGGGTACTCAGCCCTCACCTCGAAATTGCAAGGAGTTTGTGAGTCCGTCGCAATGCCCCCACCATCGTGTGATCTGCTTCTGGGTACTATAGGAACCTAAATTATGGCCTGGGGTTCCTCATTACAGACATGCAAAAAGGGGCCCTCGTGAGGCTTGGCAGTCGCCATTGTACATCACTATACACTCCCCAGTAGTTATACCTTGGGCTGGGCACTACCACGGCTCGCTCCATGAGCCTTGCCGGTACCTTTAGCAATCCTTATCTTCAGGGGATACCGGGAGGCGGTTTAGGGTTTAGGGTCTCCGTATCTTCAGGGGACACCGGGAGGCGGTTTAGGGTTTAGGGTCTCCGTATCTTCAGGGGATACCGGGAGGCGGTTTAGGGTTTAGGATTCAGGGTTTAGGGTTTAGGGTTGATCCACGTTCGCCTTCAGCCGGGAGTTGAGAACTCTGTGACCCCTATACCCTAGACCCGAAGCCCTAAGACCTACCGTAACCCTATAAAGCCTTCCTTTTTAGGGTTACGGTAGGGTTTAGGGTTTAGGGTTGAGGGTTATACTTAGATAGCGGAGAACTTTAAACTTTTTGGCTTTATATATTCGGTCTATCCTAAAAAGTTTGAACTTTTTCGGGCCTGGTTGTTGAAGAAGAGAGATAAAGCCTTCCTTTTTCGGGCTCCCCATTAGGATTTCCTTTCTGCAAGTCCTTAAAAAAACAGGTTCTTGGGGGTCCAGGTACCCCCTAAGCGCTAAAGCCTTATCCCTAAGCCCTAGTCACCCTAAGCCCAATCACCCTAAGCCCTACTCAATAGACTTCGAGCCAGCCGCTTCGAATCTCTAGACTAGCAAGAGCCCTACCCAAAAGCAAGCCAAGTAAGCCCTAAACCCTGATCCCTAAATTCTAATCCCTAAACCCGAGTCGCTAAATCCTGAAGCCTAAAACCTAAGCCCGAATCCTTAATCCTTGAGCCCTAAACCCTAAAAACCCTAAAGCCCCAAACCCTAAGCCCTAAACCCTAAACCCTTAACCCCCTAACCCCCCAAACCCTAAGCAGGACGTCGTGGTGGATGCCGCTGATGGCCAGGTCCCCCTGCTCGAAACCTTGGAGTGGTCGCGGCATGTTTTCCCGGGCGGTCCTACGAACCCTAAACCTCTTATACTTAGATAGCCAACGGGAGAACTTTAAACTTTTTGGCTTTATATATTAGGTCTATCCTAAAAAGTTAGAACTTTTGTGGGCCTGGTTGTTGAAGATAGTATAGGACCCTTTAAAGGAACCCTAAACCTCGTATAGGCCCTTTTAAAAGGAACCCTAAACCTCGTATAGGCCCCTTTAAAAGAACCCTAAACCTCGTATAGGACCCTTTAAAACAACCCTAAACGTCTTATAGGACTCTTTAAAAGAACGCAGAGGGTCCAAAGATACTATCATCATGGAATATTGGTCCCAAAACGAGCATCCCCATCTTGGTTTTGGTGACCTAATTCCATAACACCTCTGGGCTTGTATGCCCTAAACCCTAAACCCCAGTTCCATAATAATAGTGTATAATCTGGGTACTTCTCTAAAGTAGGGTCCCTTTTAGGGTCCTTCTTTGTAAGGCTGCCGTACTATATTGGGGACCGGAAAATGGACTCTAACCCCTAAACCTTAAAACCTAAATCCTAAAACCCAAAACCCAAGAGCCTAAACCCTAAACCCTAAACCAAAACCCTAAGCCCTAAACCCTACTAAACCCAAAACCCAAACCCTGAAGTACTCTTTGGGCTCCCAGTGACTTCCGTGGACCCTCTAGGTTTGTATGCGGCAGTTATCTGCGGCACTTGGGATCTTCGATTTCGTGGGTCTCCCGAGGGTGTTTCAACCAGTCCCATGTAGAGTTCAGTGACACCCACTCTACAGGCCTCCAGGCATCGCCCGTGGATGCAAAGCTAACCTCTCAGGTGCATTGGCGAGTTGCTGGCCGATTGCATAAGCCCTAAACCCTAAACCATAAACCCTAAACCCTAAACCCTACACCGATTCCCTAACTCCTACACCCTAAACCCTCGACCCTTGCAGGAGCCCTGAGTCATACACTCTTGGGGGGGGGGCTATTCCTACCTTATCGGCTGATGAGGGGATTATGGGTTATCCCACCTTCTGGCTTTTTGTTGTTGTTTTTGTTGGATACCAAGCCGGAAACTCTAAATCCTCCTAAACCCTAAACCCTAAATCCTCCTAAACCGCCTAAACCCTATACGCTAAACCCTAACCCGCCCCCTAACCCCTAAACCTCAATCCTAAATCCTAAATCCTTCTAAACCCTAAACCCTAAATCCCGACTTACAGAAATCTCGCAGAGCCAGGCTGGCTGCCGCCGACGCTTTGAAGAACTCAGAGGCGGACGCTGGAACCTTACAGGGCTGAATATATAAGTTTAGGGTTTAGGGTTTGGGGTTTTGGGTTTTGGGTTTCGGGTTCAGGTTGAAAGGACTTAAGGCGTTCAGAGCGTGAGGATCGCTGGGCTCAAGGCTTCAATGTGCTTTTTCTGCTTGGGTGAGCTGGGCTAGTGGAGAGGCCTGAATGCTTACCAAGATTGTT